CCTGACTGGCCCTGCCTCTCACAGGAGCCTCGGCTTGGCCAGCACAGGCACCATTGCCCATTCATGAGATGTCAGGTGGTCTACAGATGGGAACACGGCATTATTGATTTTTACTAGCCTGCTAAAACCAAAAGGAAAAAAAAAAAACCCTTCTAAAGAGCTCCGGGTGAAGCTTTGTTTCCTAAATGATGATTCCAGGGCTCCCAGTTTGTCAAAAGCAAATGTAAAATATTGGGGCTGTTGGAGATATAATAAAGTGAAATCTTCTTACAGCCATTAACTTCAGACAGGAGCAGAGCTCAGCTCTGGCTTGGGGCCCAGGAGGAGGGGGAGAGAGACCCACAGAGGGAGGGAAGAGCAGAGGAAGCCCAAAGAACAAAACCCCTGACTCTGTTCCCCAGGCAGCCTCTTTGATAAGATCATATGTGGATATGAAGAAATGAATTCTAACAGCTCTAAATCGAACAGAGTCCCTGGGTTAGCAACAACAAGATGTGATGAGGGTGTTGGCCTGATGCTTCTCCCTCCCCTCCGCCCCCAAATACATGGCATGGGAAATGGGGAAAATTTAGGGTCAGGCTATCAGTTCTCTGGGAGGAAGCTGGAGTCCCAGGATCCACAACTACCCCTGCTGTTCATCTTTCTGGGAGCTCTTGTCTTCCCAACAGTGGGGCTCCTTTGTCTGACACACTCAGGGCACAGTCACTTCTGCTGAAGTACCTGCATTCTGATTGGACTGCATGGATAGGAACCATTCCTGGAGCCACCTCACAGATTGTGTGTTCTTGTTGGCCCATTTTTCTGCAAATATTTGACTTTAGACAAAGCCCCTTAGGAAAATCCCCCAGTGAGTCCATGGAAGGACATGTCTCATGGTTATGTGGCTGAGTCACTTTGTCTCCTTAAGCGTTGTGTATATGGGTGACTGTATAACATTGTTCAGATGGTTCACTGAGGAAACACTGAGCACTGACTATGCTCCACACATTGTGCTGCTCACTGAATAGACAAGTTTATATGAAATATATATATATATATATATATATTCATGAATATGGCATGTGTGTGCATGGATAGGCATGTGTGCATATACAAATGTGTGGATATATGCATTATACACATGCATATGTGTGAGGGTCTTTATTTGATTGCTGGATTGTTGCTTGGTTTGTGCTAACTTCCTTCCAAAATGCACAGTAGCACTGTGGCATTGTAGGAAATATATTGATCAATTGATTGACCTTTTTGAAATTAAAAGAGCAAGGTGCTGGGAGTCATGAGACCTGGGATCTGACCAATGGATCGATCAGCAGATATTTATTGAGCTTGGAAAAACACTGGGCCAGGCACTATAACAGATTCACAGAAACAAAGAATATTTTCTCTGCCTCAGGTAATAGAAATGTTCAGGGAAGTCACCAATATATTGGGTCCACAGACTACAGGTCCCGAAATCCTAAGACCTCAGAATTAGAGGAACTTTAGAATCCCTTCATGCCACTCTCTTACCTAAGAACAAGGAAGCAGACTTCAAGGAGCTGAACCGACTCATGTCAAAATCCACCGCAACGTTCTGGATTCCATCCAGCTCAGGATTGTTTATTGGTAGGACAGCTCTACCTTTCCTGAAAGGTAACATGGGTTGTGCTTCAGGTTGCCAATAGACCCAGCAGAAGTCAGATCTATCTATCTTCTGGCCCTCTCTTCTTTTAGATGGACTGGTCAGTGACTTATAATGCTGAAACTCAGTAGAGAGGATCTTGGAAACTTCTTTACTTCCTGTATCTCAGGGGCCTTTTACACATTGGTTACACAACAAGCTGTAGTCTAGCAATAAGGACTCTCCATGGGGCTTTGCTGAGGACTCTGTCGTCATCATCTATTTTAGCTCTTTGAATATCTTCAGTAAGTAAATACAGTTATTACCCAGGATTTGCATGTTAGGACAGTCCCACTCAGAGAGATGATACAAACTTGCCCAGAGGCAAACCCAATGGTGCCAGGATTTATACTGTGATCTAAGTGTAAAAAATTTCAATAACCCAAGTTGGGTTTGTTACTGTGGTTCCCAAGAACTATCTAGATTTATTTAGTGCTAAAAGCACTGGCTATTATAATGTGAATGTGGACAGAGTACATGCCAGCACCCCTTTATAAAGCTGAGGCTGGGGACAGGGCTGATCAGTTTCTAGAAACTAGCTCTGTTTCATCAATGGTGGGCAGCATCTGGTCAAACCCCACAGGCATACAAGGGAAAGTCTGGCCTAACACACTAACATACAAGGCTAAATTATCGGTTTTCTGATTTGAGGAATCTTCCCTTCCATCTCTCAGAAAGACAGTGTTCAAAATGATAATTTTCTCATTTTGGAAATTAAAAAATGAATTAAGATTCTAATTGGCTGTCATATGCTTTGTACACAACCTCAAGTTGAAGATGGAATTCTTTTTGTCTCTGATGATAAAGTCTCTACAGTTGGGGCTGGTGGACTTTCAGTTATAGCAATCAGTCTGAAAGAGGTAATATGGTGCATTTTACATGTATGCATTCAGCATTGTGCCTCATAATTTTAGAATTTGCATAGCATCAAGGTTTGGTTTGAGGCTAGACATGCTGTTATGTCAATGTCGACATCTTTAGGAATAATGCAGCATTCAGTGAAATAACCACAAAAAGAGCCAAAGGGGTCCTCCAGCAAGTGACTTTTGCTCAGTCTTCATTTTCATGAAAGAATTACGGAGACTCTAGGAATTTCAAGGGCAACCTCTTGTCCAGCCTTCTCTCCTCTACCTTTGTCTCTGCCCCTTTAATGATGACTCTCTCACTGTAACCAAGGTAACCAGGCACCAAGCAGAAAGGACACTTTGGTCCCTGTCTCTTTCAGAGGATGGATGCTCAGCAAGGGTTAACCCAGAGGGGACCTGAGTGACCAACAGTGCAGAGTCTCCTTCCTCCAAGCTGCTGGTGCTGAGTGACAGCTGAAAGGCTGGATATGTCACCGGGAGACAGAGGAGGACTCGGCATTCTAGATAGATTTTTATCACTTTTGTGAACACTTCAAATTACAGACATTAGTTCCAGGGCTTTGTTTAGCAATTGGTACCACAGCAATTGGTTTTTGTTCATTGATTTACATGAATGCATATTGTAGTTGGTGTCTCAGGATACATAATTTGTGTCAAAGGGCTGTTTTTGTTCCTGGGAATTCTTAAGGGAAATGTGGGAGAATAAAAATATTCTGAGTGGACCCCGAGGCCCCCACCTCCAGTTGCAGTGGGGCAGCAGCCATGTTCTCCCAAGCCAGAGGACAGGCAGGCAGTTGGGTTGCTGGCTGGGCCTATCCTCTGGGTAGGTTTTCTCAAGCTCCAGGGTTGACACTAGGGGATGGATATGTCTTTGTTGTGAGGAGTGGTAGAAAGTTATGCTGGGTCCTGACCCTCCAGGCTACTGCATGCCTTGCTTAGAGTTTCTGGGGAGGCAAAAATGTAGGGAGGGGTTGCAAAAACTGGGGAGAGGAGGAAATACTCTCACCAGAAAAGATATAATCAAGTTAGGGAAGGTGTCTATAGATCTAGTACCCCATACTTCTATTTTCATGAACTACTTTCATTTTCACAGTACCTCCAATAAGGTGTCCCTCTATGAGGAAACAAAGGCAAAGATAAGCTGAAGAATTTACCAGGGGCCCAAAGACTAATTAGAAGCAAAACTGGGATTTGAACATAGATCTCCTAGTACCTTCCCTCTCAACACTAGACATTTAAGAGCTTAGAGACATCAGTGGCTCCAGTGGCCCAAGACCCCAGTTCTCACACTGGCCCTGCTCACACCCTGGGGATGCTTGTATTGCATCTGCTGCAGCTGGTCCACTCCACAGGATGGCCCTGGCCAAATCTCTGCATGACAGTGCTGTGCACAAGAACAAAGAATGACCCTGGTTAATGGAAGCACCTGACTTGGAGCAATACTCACTCTTTCCCAACATGCACCAAGAACCTTTTTTGTTGACTCAAGGTAGACTCTGATGAGCTTTGACCTCCCTGGTCCAGTCTCTTTTCAGCCAGCCACATTGCCCTGGGAAAAGTGTGGCTTTGTTTAAAGGTGTCACAGCAGTGTCCTGCCTTTAACCTCCCCCACTCAAGCCCTGTTTACTAAACAAAGCTGCTGTGCAGAATCTAGGCCTCCAGGGAATGCGGCAAGGTGGAAGGGCAAGGGTCAAGAAGCAGGGTCAAAGGGCTGAGACCCTGGGGGAAAGGGGAGATTAAACATCCTCCTTTTCAAATCGGGAGGTTTGGATAATTAATTGTTCCCCAAACATGAACGCTTTCACTGATTGTTCTGGGCAGCCATTATTCCTTTCTAGCTCCTAATTCTTCCTCGAAGATTCCTTTCTCTAATTCCAGGGCAGTCTGGCCTGAGAGGGAGGCCATTGCCAGTGGCTGTCCCCACACCATTGTGTCTCTTACCCTTCCGCGGAAGATTAGCGCTCACACAAAGGGTAGATCTCTGCAGGGATTAAAGCTCCAAGTGCAAAGACAGAAGAGGTGGGGCTACGCCACATTGGGGTCACCTTTGGATCCATGGCCCCTGGTCACTCACTATTCAGGATACCCCAAGGCTGGCTTGTTCCCAACTTCAGAATTGGAAATATCCAGGGTGATCAATTGACCATGTAGTGACTAGTCTCCCACAGCATGCCTGTGGGTAAGTTACAGATTTATCCCCTTTAAATTTTTTTTGGATTTATTTATTTTTATTTTATGTGTATGAATGTTTTTCCTGCATACATGTAAGTGTACCCATGTCATGCGAAGCCTGTGGACGCCAGAAGAGGGTGTCAGATCCCCTAGAACTGAGGTTGCAGATGGTTGTTAACTGCCATGTAGGTGCTGGGAGTTGAACCCGAGTCCTCTGCAAGAGCAGCCAGTGCGCTTAAGTGCTGAGCTATCTCTCCAGCCCAGGGATTTGTCTCTTGAAATCTTTAAAATTTCTCTTTCAGTCCTGCCCCACCTTTGACAGGTATGATGACTATGAATGTGAACCAGCCCATCCACAGGGATGTTTACTGACTGCACATGAATAATCAGTGGGGATCCAATTTTACAGGTGAGGAGACAGGATTCTGGGAACAGTGGAGATGGGTTTCTGTTCCCGGACCTCTTCAGAGTTGGGGAGACCCCAAATGGGCAACCTCTCCTCCTTGGGGTACAGCTTGCTAGGTCCTGGGAGCAACTAGTTGGGGAAAACACCCTTTGGAAGGTGCTGGGATTGAAGCCAGTTCTGGGAAAGGCCTGAGAAGCCTCCTCTGGCCACTCTTTGGTCAAGGGTGGATCAGAAGGTGGGGCACCAGCACCAGGTGTTGGGGGAGGATGGGGGGACAGGAAGAACAGGCCTGTTAAGTGCCCTGGAAAGGATGCTTAAAGGGCTCTTAGCCTCCTTTTCTTCTTCTTCCCTGAAAGGATCAATGGTGGAGTTCTGCCTTTGTGTGCATGATGGCCCTGCTGTGAAGTACACTCAAGGAATCACGGTTTCTAAAATTCTATAAATCATTATTCCAGCCTGCTCCCTGCCCCCTCCAAAATCATTCAATCTGTTGAAATATTTAGTGGTGGGCATGTCAGCCTGGGTGCACATGTTGTAAGCAATTGGGAAGGGTGACTTAGGGTAGTAGGCAGGTGGAGGTGTCGCTGCTACCTCTCCTTCTGCCTTTCTGTGGCACATGTACCCACTCCCTCTGAATGGTCGTCAGAGCAGCCTTATGGTCCCCTGATCTCTGTGTAGCTGAGAGAGGTTGAGCCATGTCATGGCTCCTCTCATGGGGCCCCAGAAGAGGATGAGGCCAGCGTCAAGGCAGATGTGAATGTGTGCCTGGGGTAGGATATGGATCATGAGTTAAGGCAGATGTGCACAGGATGGGAAGAGACATGGGAAGATCAGCTGGGGATGGTGGGGGGTGAAATGGCAGAAGTCTCCAGCTCCTGGCATCTAGGTGTGCTGTGACTGCTCTTGATAATCTGGGAGGGTAATGGAGGGCTGGGGTGTAACTATGACCTGTGGATTGTAAACTGGGCAGGGGAGACTGGAAGTACTCAATTTCTTTGGACTTGCTGCTTTGCTAGTGAGTGTTTGGGTTTGATTCCTCAGCCCCTGGCTAGAATTTTCTGCCCCTTATCCCCTCCTCCTTTCATAGCACACACCCTAACAGAAAACAGGGCCAACTGAGCAGCCGCAGACAATGTCCCTCAAAGGCAAGCCCTGATTGATTTGCACTGGTTGATCTGTTTAATGTCCCCTCTCCCCAAGTGCCCATCTTGCCTGCAGAGGTGCTACATTTCCTTGCAGGCCCAGCTGCTGGCCGCTGACACCCTACGCCTGGAGGATGCTTGGGAAGGTTACAGGTGCAACAAGCAAAATGAAAATCCATAGTTTTTAAACCTTTATGAATTGAGAATGTAAACCTGGAAAATGGATCTGGAGCTACTAATGGACAAGCGGTCTGCCAAGCCCATCCATCCTCCAGCTCCCAGCTGGGGTCATTCACATTACACCTGCTTCTGAAAGCAGAATCTCTGGTCTTTCCCTCCCCTCCTCCCAGCCAGGAAAACAGAGGCAGGCAAGGGAAAGAGACCCAAGGGGCTTACAGCTCTGCACGTCCAGGTGAGGCATTAGGAAGGGGCTGGCAGGGAGCAGGGACAGTGGTTTTGGAGGAGCAGATTCAGTTCTCTTCTCTGGCCAAGTGGCTGTCATTGATGCCATCTCCACCTCCACATGCAGGCATGGATCCAGATCAAGCATGGAAAGATAAAAACAACCCTGACACAAAAGAAGATTGCCTCGCAGCCATCCATGCACACTGGGCACAAGAGCTGTGACCATGGAGCAGAAAGCAGCATTCAGCCCTGGGGGTCGCCTCTGCTGCTAGCCATCTGCACAAACTCAGTCCACTGCTTTCTCAAGACACATGTTTTCTTCTCTACTGTGTCCATGAGCCTCTCACTCCAGAAAGGACTTTCCAGGTATCTCTGTTTAATGTTGCTCCAGTCCTTATAGTTCCCACTCCGTCTGCTTTTTTCCTCTGTAGCCATGGTGTCCTAGTTTTATTTCTGTGGCTGTGATGAAATACCCTTATAAAAAGCGAATTACAGAAAAAAGGGTTCACCTTAGCCCACAATTCCAAGTTGCAGTTCATCACAACAGAGAAGTCAAGGTGGCAAGGACTTAAAACAACCAGTCCAGTCACATCACGTCTACAGTCAAGAACAGAGAGAAATGAATGCATGTGTGCTTACTGTGCAGCTCACTTTCTCTACTCTTACATAGTTCAGGACCCAAACTCAGTGGGCTGGATCTTCCCACATCAATTAATGCAACCAAGTCAATTCCCCACAGACATGCCCATAGGCCAACCTAATCTAGACAATCCCTCGTTGAGATTTTTCTTAGGTGACTGTGGAGGTTTGAATGACAATGTCCCCCATAGGCTCCAAGTATTTGGGCATTTTAGTCCCCAATTGGTTGTGCTGTTTTGGGAGGTCTTAGAAGGTGTGGCCATGTGGGAGGAAGCGTCACTGGGAGTGGGCTTAGAGAGTTCTTAAGTCTTGCCAGATCTTGAGTTGCTCCCGTTTCCTGTGCCTTCTTGAAGATGTGAGAGCTTAGCTTCCGCTCCTGCTCCATCCACCTCCGGCCACCATACCTCCCCGCCATGATGGACCGTAAACTCAAATAAACTCTTTCCTTTATAAGTTGCTTTGGTTAGTGTTTCTATTACAGCAACAGAAAAGTAACTAATACAGTGGCTCTAGATTGCGTCAAGTTGACAAACTATCCATCACAAGTGGTCACAATCAGACATGCTTTGTTTCTTATTGGTTGATTTCACCTAACTCTTTTAGGATGCAAACCCATTGATGTGAGCCCAACAGGGAAAAGTTATTTCTGTTTTGTTTACTGTTTTTCACTCAAGAACGTAGACTCCTATAAGGAACAAAGCAGTCGAATAATAAATGTGTGTTGAGTGAATAAGTGAATGAGTTGATGTTCTGTGGGTAGGAGGCTCTTTCCCATTTGGACTCCAGCACTCTGCCTTCATCTCCAAGATAGGTCAGGTGCCTCTCTTGTTGCAGGTGATCTTGCTAAGACCTTATACTTTGGCTTTCTTTCTCCTTCTCCTGCCCTGCTCTGCCTCACTCACACGTTCTGGGTGTGACAAAACTTCCTATTATGTTCACACATCTGTTTCTCTCTTTTCTTCTAGGCCTAAGCTCACTAATTAAGTAAAAACACCTTTGGTCCCTACAGGCCCCATCCTTCATCCCTGGACCCTTTCTGAGACCACTTGCACACAACTGATGCTGAAATGGAAGTTTTCTAAAGTCAGCAGAGGGCTTTTCCTGTAGACCATGGTAGGTGCCACTCCACACCCTCATGACCATGGGAGTAAGGAGAGTGGGTCAGCCTTTTATGAACTGATTTAGCCCATGATTGATGAGGACAGAGATATACAGCCCTGAGAATCAAAAGAGCACAAAAGCGCTACTCAGTAGTTTCCTTCTGTTTGGGTCTAATGCTTGTGTCCTTTGCCCCAAATTCATATTTTAAAGTTTAATCTCCAGGGCCAGGTGTGGTGGTGCATGCCTTTAGTCCTAGCACCTGGGAGGCAGAGGCAGGCACCAGTCATCTCACATTCTGTTTGGCCCCTTCACACCAGCCTAATCCAGATTCAGCTCCAGTTGTCTGCCTTTCACAGCTGCTTTGAATGTCCTAGAGGTCAGATACCCTATGATAGGGTGGCTCTGGATTGCTCCTGTTGGTTGGAGGCTGATCAGCAGACCAGCCCATGTTTCCTACCACTCACCTTTAGCCCCAAGTCCAGCTGTAGGGTTCTGGCACCTGCAGAGTAGGGATGAGGTCAAGGCTGCAACCCTCATACTCAGTTCCTCCAGGGCTTGGCAGGAAGAACCAATGCTTTATCAAGGACCCTGTGTCAGAGGCTTGGGCTCAGGGAAGGCAGCAAATGTCTCCTAAAAGACTTAGCTCCAGCCTTTGCCTCTTTAATCTTTGTTCAAAGAAGAGTCTTATAAGATGCATCATTTCTCTTTTTTGCATTTTAATTGAATTTTTGAGATTTTCATACAGTATAGTTTGATGGCATTTAGATGTGCTCCCCCCTCCCCACTTACCCTACCCAAATGAATGAACTCTCATATATATAATATGACTTATAGAGTATGATTTTTGTGCCCAATGTCCTTCAGTGTGAACCTATCCACGGGGCCCACCAAAATTGCCATCCCTGTAAGACACTGTCTTTCCCCCTCCCAGCAGTCATCAACTGCCAAAAGTTCCTTAGGTTCGTTTGGGATTTCTTATCTACTTCCCTGTGTCTACACACTGCATCATTTCTTAACACCCCTTCCAATAGCTCAAACTTCTGATTTTTGCATCTTTTTAGTACATACCAACAGTACAACCTTGGATAAACCCAATTATCTGTTAGCATTTAAGGAAGGGAGGACTGTTGGGGGAGTCTCTCAGTGAGGCAGACTATAACCACTGAAACTTACAAATTCCAATCTCAGATGAGCTCCGAAAGGTCCCCAGCGCTCTTCTGATGTTTTTTGGCCAAAGTTCATTCTTTGACTCCATAATTACTAGTTCAGGATGTTGCCATTCCTGTCACACTTTCAAACTCTTGTGCTCTTGTTTTTCCTATCTTGATATTATTCCTCAAATTTATTTTTGGCTAGAGGAAACAATGAAATAATGTTTAGGTCTTGGGCAACTCTTAAATAAAATTTTATTAAGTCTATAGCATCTGGTACATCAACATGATCAGTATAGAGCTATTATAACCCAATAAAGTTAACATTGCTCTTTTGAGTAGGAAAGAAAGAAATAGCTGAGAATGCCTTGGGAATATCATTTGTTTTTTCTAAATTTCTCTGTCTTTGAGTAGGAAAGAAAGAAATAGCTGAGAATGCCTTGGGAATATCATTTGGTTTTTCTAAATCTCTCTGTCTCTGTTTCTTGTGTGTGTGTGTGTGTGTGTGTGTGTGTGTGAACATGGTGTGCATGAAGAGGTCAGAGGATAACCTCCAGGAATAGGTTCTCTCCTTCTATCATATGGGGATTCAAATTCAGGCTGTCAGACTTGGTGGCAAGCACCTTTACCCACTGAGCCATCACACTGGCCCTTAATTTTTTTCAAGTCAGCCTTTTAGTAAATGAAGTGAGAACAGAGCTGATGAACAAAGGCACATGTACAATGTGAAGAAGGCAAATGCATCTTGGGAAGGATTTTCTGTGATTTGTTTGTGATGTTCAAATTCCTGAAGAATCTATGTCCTGGAAAGACTTCTAGTGGTTTTGAACACACTAGCATCTCCAAAATTCAGGCAGGAAGAAGCACTGTGGATGATGTCAGACTCTAGGACAGCTGTGTAGGAGACACAGTGTGGGCATGTAATAATAGTCTGAAGTGTAAAAATGGAACACCACTCCTTCCTGGCATAAGGAACTTTCCATGGAAGATTTTTTTATTGTAAAAATGTTCTATGTATTTTTTTCTCCTTTTTTTCTTCAGCTACATTGCAGAAGTTCCCAAGGGGATAAATAGAAGTGGCATTAATTCCTTTGTTGATCTGGAATGTTAGAAAGGTAAGATCTAAAAGCAAACTGCATTGAGAGATCATTCACATACTGTATAGTTCACCCATTTAAAGTGTGTGAGTCTGTGGATTTTACATATTCACAGAGTGGTGTCTCCATTACTTACTACTTTTAGAATGTTTTCATGCTCCCTAAAGAAACCCCTCATCGTTTAGACTTTCCAGTGTGTCACTGTCCAGTTTCATCGTTTCCCTCCTCCCCCAGGGAGCCGTTAGGCTGTTTTCAATCTCTACAGTTTTATCTACTTTGGGTATTTCACATAAGCCGTGATCCTTTGTGGCTGCCTTCATTTAGTTTTCTAAAACATGTGTGGTGTGTACGTACATATGTGGTGGGTGTTTGTGCATCTGTATATGTGTGCCTGCATGTGTATGTACGGTGTATGTATATGGTGTGTGTGGTGTGTACGTGTATGTGTGGTGTGTGTGTGTGGTGTGTGTGCAATGTGTGATATGTATGTGTGTAGTGTGATGAGTGTGGTGTGTATGTGTGGTGTGTGTATATGTAGTATTTGTGTGCATTTGTGTGTGATGTGTCTCTGTGTATGTCTCTGTGTGTGTATGTATCCATGGAATGTGTGCATGAATGTGGCATGTGTTTATAGGTATGTGCACCTGTGCACATGTGTGCTGAGACTAGAAGAACATGTTGGACATTTTTCTCTGGCGCCACCACACCTGGCCCACCTTGCTTTTTTTTAAAAAAATTTTTTTTTTTGAGGCAGGGTTTCACTATGTAGCTCTGGCTAACCTATATCTTGCTATGTAGACCAAGCTGGCCTTGAAGTCACAGAGATCCATTCTGCTTCTGCCTCCTGAGTACTAGGATTAAAGGTATACATCATCATGCCCAGCCTCCACCTTATTTTTTGAGATAGGGTCTCTCATTGAACCCAAAGCTCACCATTTCCACTGGGCTGGCTGACCATCAAACTCCAGGGATCTGCCTGTCTCTACCCACAAATGCTGAGATTATAGGCAGGCACAGCTATGCCCAGTTTTAACATGGGTACTGGGGATTTGAACTCGGGTTCCCTTGCTTTCTCACCAAGTGGTCTTACCAATGAGTCATCTTCCTACACCCCTAACATGATGGTTTTAAGATTCATTCATGTATCAGTATTGCACTGTTTCTGATGAATAACATTCTACTGTAAGTCTATTAGACACTTTTAAATTAGTTTTTAAAGCCCCTGTAAAGGATGCCAGCATCCAAGAAAAAGAAGCTTACAGGCATTTAAACTCTAGCCGGAAATCCTCCAGTTGTAGGCTGACTTGAATGGATCACAGTCTCCAGGAAGAATTTACAGGAAGTGAAGAAGAAACATTTAGATTGATCTTATTGATAACATGGGGGCTAGGGTTATGTAATAAAGGAACTACAGAGATTAGTTTTAGTAGCATGTTTTATAAAAAATTTTGACATTGCTTATTCATGGAGGAAAGCAGGAAAATATATTTGTTTCAATGATAGCCATTAATTTTCACAGGACTGATTGACTGACCACAATGACTCTACCTATCCCTAAGGGGAGCATAGCTCAATATAGAAGGGAAGGTCTGAGGCACTGAGACAAAAACCTGAAATTATAGAGGAAAGGTAAATCCACAGGGCTGTGGTTAGATTGTGTTCCCTGAGGCTCATGTATTAAATAAAGACTTAATTCCTAAGGCAACATTGTTGAGTGGTGGAACTTCTAAGAGGTCATAAGTGAAGCCTCTGCCTCATGAATGGATTATTACCATCATTGTTACAAGAATAAGTCTGTTATAAAAGGGAGTATGCCCCCCTTTTGCTTTAAAGGCCTCTCTTGCCCTTACCTCTTCTACAATGGGATAATGAGCCAGAGGCTCTTGCCAGATGCCAACACCTTGATACTGAACACTTTCCAGCCTTTATAACCGTGAAGAAATTAATTTCTGTTCTTGAAAAGTTATTCACTCTGTGGTATTCTTTTATAGCAACACAAAACAAAGGTATACCACCTCTATGTCAGTGTTCTTTCTCCCACTGTCCACGTACTGCTGACATTGCTTAATGAAGTCTAAGCTTTCCAGCCGCACAGCTTACCTATACTGAACATGGCTACAGACAACAACCATGTTCTCAGGTCCAGCCCAGAGTCAAGAGATGAGAGACTCAGAGTGTTGGTAAGTGCTGATGCAGCAGTTGCTCTTGGACTTCCGCCCAGTGTGGTATTCCTGCTTGATTGCATCAATGACCCAATTCTCCACCCTTTCCTGAATCCATACCTCTGCTATGTGAATCTGAGCTGCCTCCCACTGCACTGCAAGCACAGTGACCTACTTGACCTTTGTTTTAACATGATTCAACCATGTGACTTCCTTTGGCCAATGGGATGTCAGCAGATGCGGATGAAAGCTACCTGAATTGTATTGCCTGGATGGTCCCAGTCAAGGTCAGCAGACAACCAGCTAACCCTGACCTATGAGCTACTTGCAGTTCAATAAAACATATATTTGATCCTTCAGTGATTCTGGATGTTTGTGTTTGAACAAGTGCTTAATACTACATGACAGCTGATACAAAGTCTTTGTGAAACCCTTCTTAAATTCACAGAATAGCTCATTTTTGCCAGAACATCCAGTGTTTACATTCTCCCTGCTTTATGCAACCCATCCCTGGGTATCTAATTTTCTCTGACAATATTTAGTGTTCTAGCTTTTGGCACATTCTCTTCTTTCCTGGTTCCTATTCCAATGGTTCATTATACTAATTTTCTCTCTGTTTTCATTTCTTCATTATATAGCATGAACAAGAGAGCAAGAAAATGAAAAAAGAAAAAAACCACCAGAATTTCAGCCAATTGGCTGTTCAACTGGAAGATTGAGATTGGATGAATGAATGAACTAGAAAATGGAAAACATTGATTGCTTTACATTTCCATCCATTCCACGTTCATCATAGAGTGCTCTCATATTGTGGCAGGACAATCATTAACCTGTCTTAACTACCCCAGAAGAACTTCTCAGTGACTGCTTTCATCAAAGAGTATTAATGAGAGATGCATGGGTGAGTTCAGCGTACTCAGGAACAAAAAGCCTTCTGCCACAACCAGTTGGGGGGCCTTTTCACAACGAAACAGTGAATACCCAAGATCTCCACTCAGATGCAGAATATCACCAAGAGGTGATGTGTGTCTGGCCTGAAATCAACAACTTTTTTTTTTTTTTAGGTAGACTTCTGTCCTATGACCTCATAAGGGAGACAGAACAACAGGTTGAACATAACAAACAGAAAAGGAAAGGGGGGAAGGAAGTGGGTATCCTAAAATTGTCCTGAAAGGGGAGGGGAAATTGAAAGCACCTGTCTGAGCCTTTGATGTGAAGACCAGGTTCACTACACCTTTTGACATTGGCCAGTCTCTCTCCCACTTCTAGGAGACTCCATGCCTGGCCATGGGAGGTGGAAGTCAGGACACTTGACAACTTCTCCTGAGATGCTTCGGATTGGGGCTCTGAAGCCTCTGTTAGCCTTTGTGCCTTTTACCCATGTAGCACTCAAAGCAGACTTGCCTGCCTGCTTGATTCGGCAGAGAACATGGGGAAAGAGAAAGGAATAGAGGAGGCCTGAGGTGAGCACATGCATGTGGAGTGGTGCCTGCCTTGGCTCTGGACTCCCATTCTAGAACCTCAGTAAAAGGACTAGGGGCATATCTCCCCCTTTGCTGTATTTGGAGACACCCTGTTTTCTTATAATTACCTACCACCTCCATGCTCCCATTTTGAGTTGTTTCTTATTCTGACTAAGTGAGCCTCAATAAGGCAAGGTGAAGAGGAGAACCCCAGTCTATTACTTAGTTGATGCTCTTCCTGTATTCAGTTTCATCTGTCTTCAACTCCAATTCCAGAGCTCAGTATATTGAGGTGCTACTCTCCCCAGGCTGCCTGGTTATTGAATGAACTGTCTTGCTCAGAAGTAGCATCTGTTGGTCATGGAGAAAGGAGAATATTATGGTGAATTAGTAAAAATTCAAGTCTTAGGAAAGATATGTGGGTCCATGCAGGTTGATACAGGTGCAAATGGGAAAGACTGACTGTGCAGGACCTAGGTTGACCAAGTAGAGTTAAGCTTTGGTTAAATGCTACACTGTCTGTGACCCAAATAATGAATTTCTAACCTTATGATATGGAATCAGTGAGGAAATTCCCATCAAATGAAGCCAAGTGCAAGCAGTTTGTGGTCCCACCAGCTCTACCTCAGAGAGGATTGCCAAAGAGAGGATGGGGACTGTGTTACAGCAAAGGTTTAAAAGGAAAGATTGAATGATGTAAGAAATGGTTAGAGCCTTTTTGCCAGTGAGCCAGACAAGAAATGCACAGATAGAGGGCACTTAGATTTTTGTAAGGGGGTTAAGACATCTAGATTTGCTTAAAAATTGTTTTATTTGCAATAGATGTGTAGCTCCAGGAACTCTACTCCATGAAAGCCTTTGCAGCAGGGAATATAAAGAAATGCAGGACCAAATCTAGCCACCAGAGGCACTGACCTCCAAGGCAGTTCTACCAGAATTCTCGGGAGGTTCCCTCTCTATATGTTCTTCCAGGCCTCCTGAAGCTTGTCCTCCACATTTTTTGGTACTAGCCCCTTGATTCTGTAAGTATGTCTGAGGAGCCCTGTTGGTTAATTGGCATTCCAACCTCCTTCCCTTTCTTTCCTGGATCTCCTCTTTCAAATGTGCCAGGATGCACATCTAGGAACATGGAAGAATGTAAGAATACTCCTATTTGCAGAATAACAGCTATTTTTAAACCTTGTGAAAAACAGAAAACTACTTCAGGAGTCCCAGAGTTAAAGAAATTCAGAGTCGTTTCGGAGAAGATTTGGAGTCTTGTCCTTCTCTCCTTCTCTTGCGTTCCTTTTTTAGTCCCAATATTTCCTTCATTTGAAGATTAAAAAGTAAAGACTGTCATGAGCCCACTATGTCAGAAACATGGACAGACACATTTGTGTCCTTCCACAGTGTCAGAATTAATTGAATAACAGTAATTTCACAATCTATATCAGAGTGTCAGTTTTTCTGGCTGCAATTTGTCAACTATTTCCAATTTACCTTGACAACTGGCCATTCTAATCTTAATTACTAGTATTAACTCTTAGATTCATATTGCATTTTATGCAGTAATACCTCTACCTGCCTGCTTGTCCATCTCTGTTACAGAATGCCTACAGAAGGGTTAAAGAGGTCACAGCAGACTTCCCAGCAGAGACTGAGAGCTGATGCAGATGCAGACAGAATCACTGCAGGTGGCTAGATAAGATATTAACAACCCAGCTGGAAAGCTGCTGGAGGCAGGAGAGCTGAGCTACAGGACAGCGGGACTGAACTGCAGAGACACAGAATCCTGAAGGTGTGGGGAGGAGGTGCAGAACCAGTCCAGACTGATGGACTGACACGGGTGGGTGCACAGAAGGATGGATGGCAGTGAGAGTGGACTATATCAGGTAGTGAGGATTACACTGAGCTGAAGTTCCAGGGTCAGTTGGCAGTTCTCTGTTTCTCTGTCCCTTGACACATGCACTCAATAGTCACAAACAGGCCAGTGGGGCCACCACCATTGCAATGTTTTGCATCCTTCCTTTTATGGGGACCAGATAAAAGTGTATCTTTTATTGGCTTGTGGTGTTTGATAAGCTCTTAGGCCTGTTTTTTTGACACGCCCAGGTACTTCAGTAAATTTATAGGCGGTACCTTCTTACTTGCATGAATAAATTACTTATTTATCCTGGTGGTTGGTGTTGGACAGATGGTAATGTCCATATGCACAGAGTTCAAAATGGAGCCAAATGTTGCTTTATAAATTACAGTCAAGCAGGGCAAGGCAATCGGAAAGCCACTGGTTCGCATAAATTAGAACGGGCACAGCATGATCTCCATGAAGATGTCTTCTCTCCTCAACTTCTCCTCACTAAAGATTCTTCAGGTGGAAGCAGAAGAAGCCCTCAGGGAATGGACGGCTCCAGAGCTAATAGCATTTATCCAGGATCATTCACACTTCTGGCCTGGGGGTGACAGCCATGAGAACCTGGCTTCTGTGAGCCACCTAGGAAGACCCACTTTTTCCTTACACAGGCCGCTCCTGAGCCAGGTTGAGGTGGGAAAGCAGCACAATGATGAGAAGATGTGAAGAGACAGGCCACAGGGAAAGCGTAGGTGAAAGCATGGGAAGATGTCAGGCCCTGGCTCCTTGCCACAGGGTGCTACAGAAGCATGGCTAAACACCAGCTTGCTGTCATTCTATTTTATTGGGGCAGAGAAAGGGAAGAAGAGATGGTGAGTCCTCCATGCCTTCATGGGGCTATCTAGGGGTGACAGATGTCTTTCTTAAAGCTGAACTTTCGGCCTTTTCTAGAAAGACCTGAGCCAAGTGGCTCTCCAGAGAGCTTTGCTCTGATGTGCTAGGTTGGGAAGTTTGTACATCCTTGCTGTACATCCGAAAGCAACACCTGGGAGCAGCAGTATTACTTGGGAGCTTGGAAACAATGTGACTCCATCAGGTAATACACCTCAGAGCTTCTGGCTCTGCACCTTCAGGAGGCCCAGATGATCCATGGAGTTTGAGGTGTATACCTGTGGTAAGCTCTGCAAGTGACACTAATGAAAACCTTCAAGATGACTCCTGCCACCCAGATTTAACCACAGGCTGTGTAGCTGACAGTGTGTATGTGTGTGGTGTATTTGTGAGTGTATACAGAGCCAAGACACTATGTGATCCAAGGATAACAATGAGAAGGAAATGAAGTGTCCCAAACTTTATCTTTCTTCACAACAATGTCTTTATAGTAGAAGCTGACTCTGGTTGTTTGGTACCTGGTTCAAAGATGACTATGGTAGGCAACAGTGGCCAGGAATATGAAAGCCTGAAAAAAATGGTGATTGGGAGCCTTAATCATCAGCTCAAGAAGAGTAACAGATCTTCCTTTAACTAAGGTCTCAAAATTTAATCAAGACAGCACTTGCAAAATTTGCAAAATTATAGTACAGGCTGGAGAGATGGTTCAGGCAGTAAAGTGCTTGTTGTGCAAGTGTGAAGTCCTGCATTCTATCCCCGAAACTCATGTAAAAATAGGACATGGTAGCAGGTACTTGCAATCCCAAACCTGAGGAGAGAGAAAGGAAGATTCCCTGGGGCTTTCTGTCCAGCCAATCTAACTTAATCCTTAATCAGCAAGCCCCATATGGGAGACCCTATATCAAAAAACCAGCTGCCAACCTGTCATCTTTCTTTGCTTCTTCCCAGCTATGCAAGGTCCATAATCAAGTTATTTTAGACAGTTGGCGCCTGAGTTTATGCAACTGTGAAATGGGGATAACGCAACAGAACTACAAGATTGTTTTGAGAGTTAGATAAATCTACACAGAGAACCTGGCACAAAGTGAACACAATGTGTGTATTTGCCAGTGCTGCTGAGTTCTTACAGAACAGCTCTGTACCTATCATCCAGGTGGAAGAGAGGCTTGCGGGTAACAATTCAACTATGTAGGTTGTGCAAATTCTGAAAGAGGGTTACAGACAGCTTTGAGAGCAAAGCAGAGGGGGCTAGAAAGATGGACTATCAGCCACATCGTAAAACTGAAGATCCATGTATTGGCCAGCTGGGGCTCCGCCTGGACCTCCAGTTTTTGAAGTCTACACCAAGAACCTCAACTCCAGGGTTGGAATTCTCAAATCACCTTGGAGCCCCAAAGATCACTGAATGCATACTTTTTTTTTTTTCCCCAATGGAGAGCCTCTGAGAGACTACCTGAATGCTAGAAGCTTCTTGACTCCCTTTTTAGATCAGGGACTCACCAAGTAGGTGAGCGCTTAACTGGAGTTAACTATATATAGCCTTGCCTGGCTATATCACCATTGCTTTCCCAAGCTGATACAAACTTCCTAAGCAAAGGGACTCTGTACGCACTCTCTTGCCTTCCAGCTAAATGAAACCCAAAACTCTCATGCAGTTTTGAAAACTTGCAACAAGAGCTGCACAGCAACAGAACACTTCTGTGGAGCATTACATGAACAGAACACTCTGGATGCAGAGGTTGCAGATGGGCTCAGGGTGTTATTTAGGGAATGAGGTGACTGACTTGCTTTCCTGCCTCTTCGTAGTGCTCACCACCATAGCTGCTACACAATAAAAGTTTCATAAAACTTCCTTGAGCAAGTGAGTGAATGAATGAATGCATGATTGAAAAAGGTGTGCGGATGGCTTTACCAAATTGGAATTTAAATCCCGAGACTAGGTCTGGTAAAACTCCAAGCTCATCAAGAAAACAGCAAGGCATGGTGGATATAGCTGGGCCAGGTTGCCCAGGTTGCTCATAGCAATAAAGACACATCCGTGCTCAGAATCACATGTAGATGACACATCTATGCTTGGAATTACATGTAAGATATGTGGAGCCGGAAATAATAGAAACTCTCATTTATATGTATATGCAATGAATGAACATAGAGTTCCCCACTCCAGTGTGAAAGTTCCTGAGGTCGGTGAACTTCTGGAATGGAGGATGTGGCAGCTGGCTGATGCAGGTCCCTGTGATCAGTGAGTGGCCCAGGTTCTTGGGTTCTCTTCCATTTGGGTTGACGCCATCTAAATGCTGACTTTCTTCAAATTAGCCTGTAGTCACTGGCTACATGGGTTATTGTTCAAGTCTAGCAGCTGAGTGTCCCCCAGCATAAAGTCTTGGGTCTGGGAATATTGGATCACCATGAAATATACCCTGGCCAGGGGAATTTTGGAGAGATCAAATTTCATTAGTTGAGCCAATTCTCAGGGCAAGGAGAAGAGAATCAAATTTCATTCACCTGATCATTACCATAGCTGCACTATGAAGGTGCTGGGTCTGGATATGGTAGAAAGGGAGAAAACGCAGTACCACATAGGGAAGGGGAGCACTTGCCCATGAGCCTTCTTTGATCCTCCACCGTGATTCACTCCTCCTGGGGCTGCGCCTTAATTGCTTGCATAGCTTTAGAGACAAAAGATTGGGGTTAGTTTATTCATGCTTGCCTTGCTAATACTTCTGATTTTGCTTTCTGGAGCTCTAAGTTCTTAGCTGGAATTCAATGCATTTGTGTACCTCTACTAGAGTATGGATGGAGAGAGGCCTCAGAACAGTGATGGAGCATTGTTGCCAGAGTTCTCTCCAGGTCTCTCGCGCTATCAGACAAACCATATAACATATTTCTATGTGAATTTATTATAGTTATATCTGAGGGGGCGGGGAAGAAACTTAACAGAGACTAACACCCAGCACCCAGCACCCAGCTTTCCCCGCGGGCTGCTGCCATTCCACATCACTGGCTCACAGTCTGTTTTTCGCCCACGCATCTTGGGTCCGCAGTCTCATTCCAGGTAGGTAAATGCCCCCTCTCACCAAGGGGGTGAAATGCCGGGGGCCATCTTTTCTCTCCACGCCTGCCGGTGCGTGTTCCTGGTGGCTCCCGGCTTCCCTCCCCAGATGGTTCCCAGCAACCCCTCCACAGTCCATTCTCTGCGGCAGGCCCCGCCTCTTGGAGGAGCCCGATTCTGGGACACAGCGTCTGTGTTCCTAAAAGTCTGCGTCTTCATTATGGCTTGGGAGGTGGACTTCATTCTCCTTACCTATAGGTGAGAAAATGGTGGCTTAGTCACTCAAGTGGACAGAGATAGGTCAAATGCAAGCTCATCCTGCTCAGAATGACTTCTGACTTCTCTTTGGGTGGAGGAGTGATATCAGCTTTAGTGGGAGTTGTAGCTGTAAATATTTCCCCCTGATCATGACAATGTTGCTGAAGCTTCCCTCTGAGGGAGGGAGAACACTGATTTGGAAATGTCTGTGTCTTTGGCAGATGCCAGGTTGGGCTGACGGCCCCAGGCAAGGTGTGAAAGTGTACATAGCTTCCCTTCACTCTTCTTTCTTCAGCTTCCCCTTTGGTATTAAGGAGTCCCAGGAACTCCTAGTCCATTCTGTCATCTGCCAGCTCCCATAGCCCAACCATGACCCTGACTATTCCTGTCTTTGGAAATTCTTTCCATTTCCTAAGGTCCATTCCTTCCAGACCTTGTTAGGAGGTGGAAGCTAGCAACCCCATGAAGGTGGCTGCTAGAAGGCTGTCAAGGAGGACTAAGTGAGCTCACCCTCTGACCACCGGACTGTCCTCATGCTTGACCATCCTACCATGTCAGGTGGCCAGGAGTGGAAAGGAGAGGGATGTTCCTATCAAGAGCAGAGTTGAGGAGGAAGGAGAAGCAGAAGGAAAACTAAGCCTCCCTAAGGTAAGCCTGGAATATAAGATCCAAATCAGTTTAGGGGTACTCATGTGTGAGCATACATGCATGCACACACACATTACTACCAGGTACAGTGTGAAGCAGCTTTTTGCAAAAAGTTGCTCCCAGGAAAGATTGGGGGCAGGAAATAGTTGTCCCCAGGAAAGACATGTTCCTTGTGCCCGATACAATCACTTGTATGCAGAGGAGATGAATTTACATGTTGATAATGTGAAAAATTAGAGGTGGCAAATGGTGAACAAACGGCTCTTTCAAGGTGGAATCAGTGAAAGAAGGATGTGGTAGAAAGGAAAGGGGGAAAAGAGGAGAGGGAAGAAATGGGGGGAATGAAATAGGGAAGAGGGAGG